TCCTGGTCCTTTGGAAGAGTTGTCTATGCTCTTAAATGCTGAACCATCTCTCTAGTCCCCGAATTTTACTATTTTCTTGATGTAAACTGTGTTAATATTTTCCACAGCTGGCATAGCTAAAATTAAGTCTCATTTCACACTTTTGTTTGAAATGTGTGGATAGATTTCTGCTTCCAGTAAACATCAATATTTAATTCACTGTTCAGGAGACATAGTTATGACTTTAGAAATGACTTTATTTATTTATTGACAGGGTCTTTCACCGAACCTGGAGTTCACCGATTTGGCTAAATGTGTGGACCAGCAATCCTTAGGGCCCCCCCTGTCTCTGCCTCCCCAGCACTGGAACTATAGATGTCAGTCACTATTCCCAGATTTTCTTACATAGGTGCTAGGTACTGAAGTCAGGTCCTGCTGCTTGGGTGGTAGACACTTTACCAACTAAGCCATTTTTCCAGACTCTGCATCAGTTTTTAAGTGAATTGCATTACTGTAGAATAAATTCATTAACAGGATATTCTTCACAAGGACAAATGCCTTAGTAAGAAAAACAATTTCTTTTATTTTCAAAAGTATTAGGGAGGGGATTCTAAGTCTGGAAAGAAATACTAGTTAGAGAAAGCCCAGTATGTTTATGTACTTCACTTTGAAAGGACATTTTGATTGTGTTTATATAATGATATTTAACTTCAGAGGAAATTTAAATGCTTTTCTGAATATATAACATCTTGAAAAGCCTTTTCTATATACATATACTTTGTGATGATTCCTGAATTTCATTTATACCTGCTCCATAAGGAACCAGTGTGGGTGCATTCTGAGACAAGGAGTTCGGGCCCAATTTCCAACTCACTGTAATTGTACCTGGAATCAGCTGGCTGTTCCTTGCCTCAGGAAAGAACATGTCCAATGATCTTGTTCATTCTACTTTGTGAATGCTTTGAGTTCACTTTTCAGAGTCTAAAAAGATTTTTTTCTCTTTTGTGGCATTAAAAATTGCTAATGTTGCTAAGCCCAATGGTGCAGGCCTTTAATTCCATCTTGGAATTTAATTCCTACTTGGGAGATTGCGGCAGGAGAGAAGAAAGTTCAAGGACTGCAGGGGTACAGAGTGAGTTCAAGGCCAGCCTGAGTATCTTAGTGACAGCCTGTCTCAAAACAAAACAAAACAACCTCCCCCTACCAAACCAAAAACCAAAAAGAAAACCAGCCAAGCAAACAAAACAGGACAGGTTAGGAGCCTAAGGCTCGGTGGGCTCATTGGTAGAGGGCTTTCCCGGTATCCACGAGGTCCTGTTTTCATCCCCAGCACTGCAAACAGAAAATTGCTAGTGTTCATTTTGTTCACGCCATGGGAGACTTAAAGCATGGACTGTAGTATTCTTTTTCTGATGAAAATAAAACAGGAGTAAAGGTAGAAAAGAAGGAGGCTTCATAAATGAGTTGAGCCTTACTCTGTGCTTAGAACCTTACAAAGATTAAGGAGCGTGCCAATGGGCATAAACGAGATGGAATAAATTCAAAGAACATCGATTAGACCAAATCTAGGAATGTGGTAGCTATAGTGCACCAAGCAAGATAAATGGGTGCCTTTTTTTTTTTTTTTTTTGGTTTTTCGAGACAGGGTTTCTCTGTGTAGCTTTGCGCCTTTCCTGGAACTCACTTGGTAGTCCAGGCTGGCCTCGAACTCACAGAGATCCGCCTGGCTCTGCCTCCCGAGTGCTGGGATTAAAGGCGTGCGCCACCACCGCCCGGCAAATGGGTGCCTTTCTATGGTTTATAGTTATAAAATAATCTTCCCTGTACATCTACTTTTCATTGGTTGGAGTGGGAGGACAGTTTTTGGGAGTTGGTTTACTTCTTCTACCTAGTGAGCTCTAGGAGTTAAACTCAGGTCATCCTGCTTGGCAAAATGCACCTTTACCCACTGAACCATCTCACCAGCCCCCCAAATGAGAAAGTTGCAAGCAATTAATAATGCTACCTGTATGTAGTCCCCACCCTAAGCCAACTATCATGTTAGTATTTAGGAAACAAAGATAAATAAGTAACAATACATCAAATATAATACAGTTTGCTAGGCTAGATCTTGTCCTAACCAATTTTCATAGGTTATTTCATTTAATCATTAAAATAGTCTTTTCAGTGGGTGAGAAAGATAGTTCCATGGTTAAGAGCATTGACACCTCCTCCAGAAGGCCCGAGTTTGATTTCCAGAATCCGCATGATGATTCACAACTGTCTGTAACTTAAGTCCCAGGAGTTCTGATGCCTTCTCTGACCTCCATGGACACCAGGCACACATGTGGTGCACAGACATTGGGGTGGTTTGAATAAGAATGGACTGCATAGGTCGTATAGTTGAATGCTTAGTCACCGGGGAGTGGAATTGTTTGAAAGAATTATAAGGATTAGGAGGTGTGACCTTGTCGAAGTAGGTGTGGTTTTGGAGGAAGTACTGGGGATGGGCTTTGAGGTTTTTCAAAAGCCAAGCCAGGCTCAGGGTCAGGATGTAGCAGTCAGCTGCTGCTCCTGCTAGTGCCATGCATGTTGCCATCCCCGCCCCCCACCCCGTGCCGGGATAATAATGGACAAACCTCTTAAACTATAAGCAAGTTCCCAGTGAAATGCTTTCTTTTGTAAGTGTTGTCTTAGTCATGGTGTCTCTTCATAGCAATAGAACAGTGACTAAGAGAGACATACATGCAAACAAAACACCCATAAATATATATGTGTGTGTGTATGTAAATAAATAATTAAAAATAATACTGTATTTACCACCGCTGCTTCTAATAGGTACATTGATATTTAAAAAGCTTAAATAGTATACCCGTAAGTCAAATAATTAGCAGAAATTGTGGTGGGGCTAATGCGATGGCCCCGTAGGTAAAGGTGCTTGCTGACAAGCTTGTTGTCCTGAATTTGAGCCCCAGAACTCACATGCTAGAAGGAGAGAACATACTCTTTCAAATTGTCCTCTGTTACACACACACACACACACACACACACACACACACACACAGAGGCATATGTTCACTCACATGGTACACACAAATGTAATCTTAAAACATTTTTTAAAGCTTTTAAAAATTGTGAAGTTTGAATTTGAAAAAAAAGTCACTAAATTCAGAACCAGTGGATTTAATCATAGTACTGTCTCAACATTCTTAGTCTTGAGGAACTCAGTCTTTTAAGGGGAGGTGGCTTTGTTGAATAATTATATAAAAAAAATACACCCAAATAACTCGGACAACTATTAACACTGCTGCCCGCCAGGGATATACTCCACCAAGACCATGAAAGTCAGAATAGGTGATCATCTCTGAGAAGGGTCTTAAAACATGAGTAACATCTTTACCAGGACATGGAGGAATATCATAAAGTTAAATAAGAAAAATTGGTTAAGATTGAGGTTGTTAAGGAAATATACTTGAGAAGGCAAGTGTTTTATGCTAAATGTAAGAGAAATGTGTATGGCTTGAAGGCAAGATCAGTAAGAGAAGCTTGGAAGTGACACATCCTGATTGCACATAATGTCCCCTTTGCTTGGAATGCTACTCCTGCCCTTTCTCTGTTTATCCGCCCTTTAATCACCATGTAAGACTAGACTCCTGTCAGCTCCTCTGTGAAGCTTTTCAAGCTGTTCTGTGTGGCCATGGGACAGTTATTAAACTTCTTTAAGCACAAGAAACTGAATCAGATTCTTGTCTCAAAGGATGGCTGTGAAGAGTATATTTGTAATTGCCCTGGCACCTAGTAGGTACACAAGATTTATGGAATGGGGTTGGAGGGAAAAGCCACTACTGGCTTGAAATTGGGAATGAAGTTGAGTTTTCCAGGATCCCTAGAGGTATTGCTTTACATATTAAATTTCATAGTGCTATATACATGAAATTTATTACTTGTCCTTCTTTCCACTCACTTGGGTAGAAGATTTTTCTGTACGTTGCTTTATATACCCAGCAAGCTGCTAGTATTGATTGGTTTTTGTTTGCTCTATGAAGGAATGAAGAGTGCTTACCAAACATTGTAAAAATAAATGTTGTTTATTATGATCGCACATATTTAGACTGTTTAGCTTTAAGTCCCTCATATACAAATGAGACAGACGAAGGTAAAGAATTTATCTGCTTTCTGTTTTTCTTTTTCTTTTTTTAAGTAGGGCTCAAACCCAGGGCCTCATGAATGCTCGGAAAGCACCCTACTGCTAAGCTAGGTGTCAGCTCTCATTAGTTTTTATTTCTTATTTTGTGTCAGGGTCTTACTAAGTTGTCCATGCTGGCAACTGTGGCTTCCTTCTGTTTCGTAAGCGCTAGGATTGCTGGCCATTCCACACAGCAGCTTTTTATCTTTTTCCAAAACAGAAGTGTGATAGCACGTTTTCCAAATGTGATTACAACAACACAAGGAGTGACTTATAGCGGTTGCCTGTAAATCAGTAATTGATAGTAATTTTAAAAGTCTGTAATAAACTAGACTTCTAGAAAGGACAAGAAGAAATGTATAAAGTAGTTAAAAAAACAAACAAACAAACAAAAAACTTGTGAATATCTGGTATAGATTTAAAAATATGCTGTGTATAGGTTTTCAGTCCTCTAGGCTTAAAAATACCAGATTCCTTAAGAAAATGAGTAGTTGTTGAGGACAACGCAGAATGAATTGATGAGAAATCTGAATTGATTTTATTGTTCTGAAGAAAGATCCTGGCTTCAGATGCAACCTACTAGAGGAAAACTAGCCGACTCAGAGATCTCGTATGTTGTGGTCTTCCGGAGTAGAGGAAGCAAACTATCTCCCAAGTTTAGCAAAACTGGGGGGTCACCACAGGTGCCTGTCGGGATAGTGGCACCGATAGAGGTCCGAACGATTCTATCGAATCTCTCGGTGATCCATTTGAACCTACCCGATCGCAAGATCGGCCTGCGATTAGTTTTGTCTGAGGCGGTTATGGGAAGGGCGGAAGCGCGCTCTTTTAAAGTCTGCGCCGGTGGCCTTATGCCACTTCCGGCGTGGCCATGGCGGCTAACGCGACCACGAACCCGTCTCAGCTCCTGCCACTAGGTAAAAATCTTCCCCGAGGAGCGGGCGGGTTACTGCAGCTCTGCGCCGGCGGCCGAGGCTGGGTCGCTGACCCTCCGGGCTCGGCCGTCCCGCCCTTGCCGTCGCTGGGAAGACAGACCATTTTGCCTGTCGGTGGCCGGCGGAGGTCCCTCTTGGTGTAGGTCGTCCTCGGCCTTCTTTGTGAGCCCGCCAGTTAAGATGTCATGGGTAGCCGTCCCAAATGGCAGTTTGGCCTTTTCGGTCTCCAGGTTAGGTAGACCCTGTATTGTATCTGGTTGTGCGAGGAGGGCGCCACGGTCTACAGTGAATCTTAAAAGAGAAATCTGGAAACTAGCCCCGTTATTCATTAATTCAACCAGCGGTTCCCTCACTGTGCCAGGGTATTGTGGAATGATGAACTTAAATTACAGCCACTGCTTTCAGATCGTGCGGAGAGTGCTAAGTTGGCTACAGAGATGCTCAGGTTGGTCTCTAGGCACAGAGGTAAAGGCATGGTGAGAGAAGTGACAGGAAGCTGAGGTCGATAATAATGCCTCTCCCCGGTCATGTTTTGGCGCTGGTGAAGTTAATGAATGTGGCTGTGGTCGAAAGTCTTTGCGGTGTCCACTCCAGTATATGCTAGATACTGTTCATCGGTAGAAACACTGACAAGGAAAAAATATGGTTTCCATCTTTTGGTGTGAGCATATTTATATATTAACCAAATAATCTAAATAAAGTCACAGTCATATTAATTGCAGCAAAGAAAAAAAAGAGGTAAGTGAAAGCTAAGGCAAACATTCGTGCTAATGGTTGAACAGATTTGTATACGATGTAAAGTTATTGAATAACTGCTTTTTGTTTAATGATATGACAATAATAAAGTAAGCACTCAAATGTTTGTTGAACTAATAAGTGGGCAAAACAACCCTTTTCCTTCCGCAGAGCTCGTGGACAAGTGTATAGGATCCAGAATTCACATTGTGATGAAGAGTGATAAAGAAATTGTTGGTACACTTCTAGGATTTGATGACTTTGTCAGTATCCTTTTAAAAAGTGGTAATGGTACAGGTTTTTGAAGATATATTAATATAAGAATTATAGACAGATGATATGTTTCTGGTTATTACATTAAAAATAAATTTATTTTCCAGGAACTTGGTAGCATTTTAAGAGGTATGCTTGCAGAGCGAAGATAGGGTTCTTGCCAACAACAAACCTTTTGAATTTGCACCATTGTGTTGAACATATTAGGAACCAAACAAAAACATAAACCAGAATGAATTCAGCCTTGTTTATTTTCTTAACAACAAATTTCAGATATGGTGTTGGAAGATGTCACTGAGTTGTAAGTAGTATTAAAAGTTAAAGAATTGGGGGAGGAGGGGAGGAAATCTCTTTTTGAACTAAAGGCAGGTGCCTTAGTTACTTTTCTATTACTGTGAAGAGACACCATGACCAAGGCAGTTTATAAAAGGAAGCATTTAACTGTGGGCTTGCTTATAGTTTCAGAGGGTTTACAGTCCATGATTTTCATGGTGGGGAGTGTGGCAGCAGCGGGCAGGTGTGGAGCTGGAACGGTAGCTAAATGCTTACATGTTGAGACAACAATCACGAGACAGAGAGAGCTAACTGGGTATAACTTAGCCTTTTGAAACCTCAAAGCCCACCCCCAGTGACACACCTCCAACAAGGCCACACCTATCCATTCCCAAACAGTTCTACTACCCCAGGACCAAGCTTTTCAAACAGATAAGCCTGTGGAGGCCATTCTCATTTAAACTACCATAGCAGGTTTAGAATGATTGATTAAAAAAAGTATTACCTGCTGGAATTATTTTAATACTGAAACTTTATTTACTTGTATTGTGAGGTTGGGCCAGAGGATTATTATGTTAATGTTATTATTCCTGAATTTCTAAGAAATTAGTGTGAACAAGCTTCACAGTACACTATATTTATGTGACCATTAACCAGTGGGCAGAGTGTATTTCTGAAAATTATTGTAATTGTACGAATTCCCATTCATTCATATGTTAGAATAACAGTTTTGGTGCTAGGGATTGAACCCAGGTCCTTGGTGTGCTCTGCCACCAGGCTAGTCTCCTTACCCCAGGAATAATTTTTAGGGAGGGAGAGTGTTTCCAAAGTATTGCCTTTGAATGCTTGTTTATCCTGACTCTATTTTATCTATTTATTTAGTGAAATTACACCAGAAGGAAGAAGGATTACAAAATTAGATCAGATTTTACTAAATGGAAATAATATAACAATGGTAAGACGTTAAAACTGTTTTATTTGAATTCAGTGTACTTTGATGGGACAGGGATTCCAGAACTCACAAAACAGCTGCTTAGCTCAGTGTTCACGGCCAAGACATGCTGAGGATGGGAAGGGAGCCCTTGGTGATCCGTGCCCTGACCCAGCTATTGAAAAAGCATTGGTCCTTAAGATTAATTGACTTCTTAATCTTTATTATCTTTTAGTTTATCAGGAATCATAGTTGAAACTCTTAAACATCAATTAATGATGCTGGGATTACTAACAGATATTGATGACCTGAAGAAAATGGGAATTGAAGGATGGGGAGAGACGAAGGTGGCTTTGGTCCATGAAGATCACATGGGGTTTTTTAGGTGGTATGATAGTGGGGGGGTTTTAGGTGGTATGATAGTGTTATTAATAAACTCTTTTTTTTTCTAATACAGCTGGTTCCTGGAGGAGAAGGGCCTGAAGTATGAATGGATTTCCTTATGCAAGATTCTGGCTTTTTCTTAAACCTTTAATGTCTATATTCTATAAAATGAAGTTTCCGTTAAAAGGAAATACTTTGAATATATACACCATTTTTCTAAGCTAATCATGGTTATTTTGAGAAAGGAAGAGGTTTGTTTTGTTTTTTAAAAGACTGAAAAAATAAAGATGTTTTTGGTTAATTGTGATTTTATTTATTATGTTGAAATATCTAGTGGAACAAATATAGTTATTTTGATACTTGGTTTCATATTGATTTCTGTTTATTTTCTTATTTATTTGATTCGGGGGAGGGCATGCCATTTTATTCAGAGGCTTGAGGGTGGGGAGGGGAGGAAGAGGGCTAGCTGAGCCAATGTCCGCCAATGGCTGGTCTTCTGGCCTCTTTGCTAAGAGTGAACTTAATCCTTGTTTTTTAATAAATATTTTATTTATTTTTATTCTATGTGTATGAATATCTTCCTTCATGTAGGTCTGCTTCATGTGCAGTGTCTTCAGAGGCCAGAAGAGGGTGTTGGACCCCCTGGTTCTAGAGTTAATGGTGGGTTTTTAACTGCTGTGTGGGTCTGGGATTGAACCTGGATTCTCTGCAAGAGGAACAAGTGCTCTTAACTGCTGAACCATCTCTCCAGCTTCTGAACTTAATTCTTAAACAGCATTTAGTCCAAAGCAAAATGAGCTTTGATTTTGAATATATCATTTAAAAAAACCTTAATGATCCCTTAAGAAAACCGAGTTCAAACTCTGATACTTTGTAATGAAGTTTTCCACATTGAATTCAGTTTTTACTAATTCCTATTAAAAACAAAGTATATGTGTTGTATGTGTATTGTAGAAGTGCAGGTAATCAAAAAGTAGCAATCACATTTTACATTTTCCTAGACCGGAAAAACATTTTTATTTTTTTAATGTGTGTGAGTGTTTTGGCTGCATGTATGTCTGTGTACCACTTACCTGCTTTGCATCCATGGAAGCCAGAAGATGGTGTTGGATCCCCTGGAACTGGTTACAAGGGATCATGAACCTTATGCTGGGAATGAACTGGGGTCATTTTTGAGAGCAACAAGTATTCTTAACTGCTGAGCTATCTTTCCAGCTCCATCTTTTCCTGTAGTTAACTGCCCCCCCCCCTAAAAAAAAAAACCCAAAACAGTTACTGTGGGTGTAAATATGTGGGTGTCTGAGTGCCATGGAGCATGTATGGAGGTCAGAGGACAACCGCAGGAATCAGTTTTCTCCCTTCTGTCGTATGGGTCTCAGTATTGAACTCAGGTCATCAGCCTGGGTAGCAGGTGGCTCTGCCGCCCAGTGATCGCACCCACCCTCTCAAAGGGGGTTTGAGTGTGTACATTTTAACAAAAACTTGCTTATCCTAAATGTTTAGGTTCCACTGTAAGTTCATTAAAAAAAAGACTAAATGATGAATATATTCTGTGTGAAATATTTCAACAGTAATGTCTATAAAATTTTGTTAAATTTTTTTACAGTAAGTTATTTAGCCTATGCTTATTGGCTATAGTAATTTTTAACTACCTCTTTATATTTTTTGTTTTCCTAGAGTAAATTCATAGAGTACACGTTTGTCATATTGTCAACAGAAAGTTTGTATCCCACTACTTTTCCAGCTTCTCAATACCTTTTACACCCTTATCAACATTTAACTCCTATTTTTTCTTCCACTTTGATAAGCAAAACCTAATTTAAAACCTTTTTGAACTGACTTGTATTTTATGAATTATTTGAGGCCTTCTCATCCCAACACTTTGGAGACAGGGTCTTGCCATACCTTCTAGGCTGGTTTTGAACTCGCATTCCTGCCTCAGTCCCCTCAGCACTAGGATTACAGGCATGTTCCACCACAGATTTGTATAAAGCTTTTACCTATTTGTCTTTAAAATCAATGACAACAAAAACAACTTGCAAAACCTTTTGTAAGGTTATTTCTATTACTCTTCCCATTGCTGCAACAAAACATCTGATGAAAGCAACTTAAGAAAGGAAGGAAGGGTTTGCCTTGCCTTATAGTTTCAGGGGTAAGAAAGTCATCACAAGGAAGGTGTGGCAGCAGGAGCCTGAGGCAGCCGGTCACACTGCACTCACAGTCAGGAAGCAGAGAGCAATGGATGCTGCTACTCAGCTCCCATTCTCCTTTTCAAGCTAGGAACTCAGCCCATGGAATGATCTTCCCATCTCAGCTTAATCATAAAAATCCCGTATGTACATGCCCAGAGGTTTGTTTTTATGGTGATTCTAATTCCTGTCGGATTGAAAATTAAGATGAACCATTAAATCACTCTGTCACATAGTTTGCAAATAACATCCCCAGCCTATAGTTTGTCTTCTAGTGGTATTTTTTGATATGATGTATTTTTATGTAATTATATTGACCTAGGCCTTATTTTCACCTGGCCCAAATCAGAACATGCTTTGCTGTGGGGAACATACACACATGCGCATGCATGTGGGCATAGACACACACACACACACACACACACATTCTACTAGGGTCTTATGTTTTCAGTGCTTTAAATCTTGAGCTTAACAGGAATTTTAGTGCTTCAGCTTTTAAAAACAATTTTTAAATTTCTAAAACAAGTTACTTATTTGACTTACATGGTATAAATATTACTACATTGCTAAATGATATAACACTGGCTTTTTTCACCTTTTTATTTTCAATACTAGAGTAACATGGTCATTGCCAACTTCCTTTTTTCTCCTAAGACTGAGTGTCCTGCAGGGAGCACATGTTCTTAACTTCAGTATGTTGTAAGTCTTTTAGGAGGGGGCATAGTTGCTCGTGTGGCTGTATGAATGAGTCTCCTTGCCTACTAGGTCCCTAGTCTGTTTTTTCCTCAGAGCTGACAATCAAATCCATTGTCTTGTACATGCTTGGAAAGCACTCTTCATTGAGCTGTGTACTCAGCTCTCCTAATCTATAACAGTAATAAAATCAATACAATTCCCCTCTGTTTACACCTTAATCCTCAGTTTGCTTAGAGAAGGTACTATTTTTATTTTCTCAACCTTGGCAGTCAGGATTTCTAACCATGAATAGGAGTAGAATACCCACTTCATTCACTGTCTGTCCAATTATAACAAGAAGGTCTCCAGACACTGCCACATATCCTGAGTAAATAATCACTCAGGATTATTGACTGAGAACCTTCTAAATAAGTAGGTACTTTTTATTGGGCTCCCCAGAATCTCTAATGCTTATTTAGTCATGGACTAGGAGCACTGAATTTAGATAACTAAAATTTGGGGAGAAAAGGCTGTGACAGAAGGTTCTAGCAGGGCAAGATTGGTGGTTTTAAGCTTGAAGGATGCTGACTTGGGTGCTAGCCATATATGATCTCTCCCTTGGACAGGTTGGTAGCCTCTGGCAAGCTGATGACACACTAAAGCTATACTTGAGCTCCTTGCCCAGCTTGCAGGCAGCTTCCATCGGAGTCTGTCATCCCCAGGGACTGTTCACTGCTTTCCAGCCCTGAAGAGGGGCTCTATGAATCCTGTAAGTTTCAGGAAGTTCCTGAGCTTCTGGAGTGTTAGGTGTCTCCCCGCATGAAGGAATGTTTTAATTCAGAGGAAATGACTATGTAACAGAAGCAGGAGTGTGACCAATGAAATGAGGAAAGATTAGTGAGTGAGGCAGCGTGCACAAATGCATTAGAGTGAACTGGGACATGGGCCACTGCTGCAGGAATAGACAAGCAGAAAGAAGGCTGCTTCAGACCAGCACATCTGAAGATAGGTCCTGATAGATTCCAGTTCTCAGTAGGCCTATAGGAGTTCAGGCTTCAGAATTTACACTGGGAAAACTTACATTTGCAGAGTCTGCTGTGACTTTGACAAGGTTACGTTTGGGGTTCTAAGATATCTTTACTTGATAGAATCAAGAGCTGGGTTCTGGGAGGAGGGTTTTTTGTTTTTTTTTCCCGAGGCAGGGTTTGTCTTTGTAGCTTTGCGCCTTTCCTGGAACTCACTTTGTAGCCCAGGCTGCCCTTGAACTCAGAGATCTGCTTGTCTCTGTCTCCCAAGTGCTAGGATTAAAGGCGTGCACCACCACCACCACCACCACCACCACCACCACCACCACCACCACCACCACCACCACCACCACCACCGCTGGGCTCTGGGAGGAGTTTTCTAAGTTGAGTGCTGGGGCTGGTAATAACCTTTTGTATCCAGTTAATGGTTTGGTCCCATTAAAAAGGGATGCATGGGCCTGAAGAGATGACTCAGCAATTAAGAGTACTTGTTGCTCTTTCGGAAGACCCTACTTTGGTTCCCAGCATCCACATCAGGTGACTCACAACTTCCTGTAACTCTATCTTCAAGGCATATGATTCCCTCTTCTGGTCTCCACCGACAACTGCACACATGACAGACACACACTCATACATTTAACAAAAGTAATTTATAAAAATGAAATGAAGCAAAACATGAGTAATAAATGAATTGGATGTCTAAAATTAAAAACTTAAGGAGTGGGACTGGAGAGATGGCTCAGAGGTTAAGAGCACACTAGCTGCTCTTCCAGAGGTCCTGAGTTCAATTCCCAGCAGCCATGTGGTGGCTCACAACCACCTATAATGAGATCTGGTGCCCTCTTCTGGCTTGCAGTCACACATGCAGACAGAATACTGTATACATAATAAACCTTTAAAAAAATTCAGGAGTCATGGTGTATGTCTGTAATCTCAGCACTTGGGCTGAAGCAGGAAGTTTGCTGCAAGTTTGGGGCCAACCTGGTTTAAGTAGTGAGGAAGGATAAGGCAGGGCTATGGAACAGACCTTTTTTTTTTGTTTCTAAGAACACCTCAAGAAGTGAAAAGATAACCACAGAGTAGGAGAAAATATTTGTGAGTCAAATTGATTATAAGAGACATATCTAGACTATATAAGTACTATATAAGACTACATAAGTCAATAATAAGACAGCTAGAAAATGGGCAAATTATCAAAAGGCATTTCCCCAAAGAAGACAACACAAGTGTCTTAGGGTTTCTATTGCTGTGATAAGATACCATGACCAATGCCGGGCGGTGGTGGCGCACGCCGTTAATCCCAGCACTCGGGAGGCAGAGCCAGGCGGATCTCTGTGAGTTCGAGGCCAGCCTGGACTACCAAGTGAGTTCCAGGAAAGGCGCAAAGCTACACAGAGAAACCTTGTCTCGAAAAACCAAAAAAAAAAAAAAAAAAAAAGATACCATGACCAAAAGCAATTTGATGAAGAAAGGGTTTATT